GAGAGAGAGAGAGAGAGAGAGAGAGAGAGAGAGAGAGAGAGAGAGAGAGAGAGAGAGAGAGAGAGAGAGAGAGAGAGAGAGAGAGAGAGAGAGAGAGAGAGAGAGAGAGAGAGAGAGAGAGAGAGAGAGAGAGAGAGAGAGAGAGAGAGAGAGAGAGAGAGAGAGAGAGAGAGAGAGAGAGAGAGAGAGAGAGAGAGAGAGAGAGAGAGAGAGAGAGAGAGAGAGAGAGAGAGAGAGAGAGAGAGAGAGAGAGAGAGAGAGAGAGAGAGAGAGAGAGAGAGAGAGAGAGAGAGAGAGAGAGAGAGAGAGAGAGAGAGAGAGAGAGAGAGAGAGAGAGAGAGAGAGAGAGAGAGAGAGAGAGAGAGAGAGAGAGAGAGAGAGAGAGAGAGAGAGAGAGAGAGAGAGAGAGAGAGAGAGAGAGAGAGAGAGAGAGAGAGAGAGAGAGAGAGAGAGAGAGAGAGAGAGAGAGAGAGAGAGAGAGAGAGAGAGAGAGAGAGAGAGAGAGAGAGAGAGAGAGAGAGAGAGAGAGAGAGAGAGAGAGAGAGAGAGAGAGAGAGAGAGAGAGAGAGAGAGAGAGAGAGAGAGAGAGAGAGAGAGAGAGAGAGAGAGAGAGAGAGAGAGAGAGAGAGAGAGAGAGAGAGAGAGAGAGAGAGAGAGAGAGAGAGAGAGAGAGAGAGAGAGAGAGAGAGAGAGAGAGAGAGAGAGAGAGAGAGAGAGAGAGAGAGAGAGAGAGAGAGAGAGAGAGAGAGAGAGAGAGAGAGAGAGAGAGAGAGAGAGAGAGAGAGAGAGAGAGAGAGAGAGAGAGAGAGAGAGAGAGAGAGAGAGAGAGAGAGAGAGAGAGAGAGAGAGAGAGAGAGAGAGAGAGAGAGAGAGAGAGAGAGAGAGAGAGAGAGAGAGAGAGAGAGAGAGAGAGAGAGAGAGAGAGAGAGAGAGAGAGAGAGAGAGAGAGAGAGAGAGAGAGAGAGAGAGAGAGAGAGAGAGAGAGAGAGAGAGAGAGAGAGAGAGAGAGAGAGAGAGAGAGAGAGAGAGAGAGAGAGAGAGAGAGAGAGAGAGAGAGAGAGAGAGAGAGAGAGAGAGAGAGAGAGAGAGAGAGAGAGAGAGAGAGAGAGAGAGAGAGAGAGAGAGAGAGAGAGAGAGAGAGAGAGAGAGAGAGAGAGAGAGAGAGAGAGAGAGAGAGAGAGAGAGAGAGAGAGAGAGAGAGAGAGAGAGAGAGAGAGAGAGAGAGAGAGAGAGAGAGAGAGAGAGAGAGAGAGAGAGAGAGAGAGAGAGAGAGAGAGAGAGAGAGAGAGAGAGAGAGAGAGAGAGAGAGAGAGAGAGAGAGAGAGAGAGAGAGAGAGAGAGAGAGAGAGAGAGAGAGAGAGAGAGAGAGAGAGAGAGAGAGAGAGAGAGAGAGAGAGAGAGAGAGAGAGAGAGAGAGAGAGAGAGAGAGAGAGAGAGAGAGAGAGAGAGAGAGAGAGAGAGAGAGAGAGAGAGAGAGAGAGAGAGAGAGAGAGAGAGAGAGAGAGAGAGAGAGAGAGAGAGAGAGAGAGAGAGAGAGAGAGAGAGAGAGAGAGAGAGAGAGAGAGAGAGAGAGAGAGAGAGAGAGAGAGAGAGAGAGAGAGAGAGAGAGAGAGAGAGAGAGAGAGAGAGAGAGAGAGAGAGAGAGAGAGAGAGAGAGAGAGAGAGAGAGAGAGAGAGAGAGAGAGAGAGAGAGAGAGAGAGAGAGAGAGAGAGAGAGAGAGAGAGAGAGAGAGAGAGAGAGAGAGAGAGAGAGAGAGAGAGAGAGAGAGAGAGAGAGAGAGAGAGAGAGAGAGAGAGAGAGAGAGAGAGAGAGAGAGAGAGAGAGAGAGAGAGAGAGAGAGACTGCCTTATCAGCAAATCTACTGCAAAAACTCATACTGCGTGATTTACAAATGTATTATAAAATAACTAATGCTTTGTGTCCTCTGGGGATAATCCTCTGACTGCTACCTTCACTGGCGCAATAATAGTAAACCATGAAATGGTGTGCTCAAGATTCGCAAATCTCACTCACTCACCCAAGACTGCGTTTCAAACAGGCTCTTAAAAGATATCAAGGGCAGAAATATGATATAGACAGCAGGAAGTTCGCATCAGACTTACGAATTAACTTTTAAAAATGCATGGAAAGAGATAAACAAAAAGAGGAAAGTTTGTTCAAATCTATTGGACACCATCGGTAACATCCACGGTGGCCGTGAGATTTGTAAACTTTGACGCAGCACGATATGAATATTTTCAACGATATCACTCATCCTGAAATAAGTGTCTCCTCGCTCCGGAATCTTTGGTGTCGCGGAGTCCCTTCGGTCATGGTGTGCAATGTGTGCAAAGCGAACAATGAAGTCCCGTGGAGCCTCGTTTGCGCGCACCCGGTTTTCAGGATCATACTCAGCCGCTTCTTAAATGGGTGCTTCTAGCTACTCGTTTCTGCCAGAGCCATTAATGGAAGTGATTATTGGTCCCTTGATTAAGAAAAAAAACCCACTGATGTCTGTAGGATCTAAATTATAGACCATTTGCTCTCTCAACAGTGTGCTCGAAAGTGTTAATCAGCTATTCTTAGCAGATGTACTGATTAGTTACTCAGGATAATCATTTCGCCTATAAAACAAATTACGGAACCTAAATATCCATCGGCATACTAAAATATGCTTCCACTTAATATTTGAAGCATAATACACCTGTACACGCTTGTTTTATGGATATATCAAAAGCTTTCAATAAGGTCTGTCTTGGTTATCTTTTTGATATACTGAATCAGCACGGCGTTACGGGATATATCGTCGAGATACTGCGATACTGGTATGCATATCAAAGCATGAGCGTTCGATGAGGATATCTATAAAGAGAGAGAGAGAGAGAGAGAGAGAGAGAGAGAGAGAGAGAGAGAGAGAGAGAGAGAGAGAGAGAGAGAGAGAGAGAGAGAGAGAGATTAAACATATTAGTTAATGTCGGGTCAAACAAGGGTCCCTGTTATCGCCACATCTCTTGAATCAGTGTATGGACAATCTCCAAAACAGCTAAACAATCATAAGGTAGACAGCATAGTAAATGACCAACTAATAAACCATTTCATTTATGTTGACGATATGGTAGTACTCAGTCCATCTTTCGTAGGTTTACAGCATTTTGTCAACGAGTGTTCTGAATACGTGACTGGAGTGAAACAATATGAATGTTAGAATAAACAAAAGGTATGATCATTTTTAAAGAGCAAAATATTGATATACAATTGGCAATCACAGTGAATGATGAAAACATTGAGTTAGTGAAAGATAATAAGTACTTGGGCTCTAAAATTACCCCAGAAAATGACAGACAGCATATACTGTAGAGAGTCTGTGTAGAGGATTTTGCAACAGGTCAAATGCAGTACTTGCAACGATGAGGTTAGATATATCCTTTTTCTTGTGTTTCTCTTCTTGAGTTTCGGTACATCTTTCTATTGGATGTCACTAATATTAAAGGCAAGGCTATCGGATCTGAGAAAACTAAAGTTGTGCTATAAAACAGCACCCGTTTATCGTTCAAGAATAAACAGTTTAGTGTTAGCGACTTGTGCGTTCGGCATGGCATTCGAACTTTATGAGAACGAGACGTAAGCTATAGTTTGCCTAATTCAAAGTTTAAAACTATCGAACACGTTGTAAGAGCAACCCAGCTTAAAATATGTATTGCATATGAATCTCTCTCTCTTCTCTCTCTCTCTCTCTCTCTCTCTCTCGTTATTTATATATATATAGATAATAAATATATATATATATAGTAAGACATATCACATATATATATATATATAGATCATTAATAATATATGGCTGTACTATATACAATATACAACAACACACACACACACACACACACACACACACACGCACACACATATATATTTACAAACGTAAATAGTATAAATGAACTGAAATTTGAATTTCAAATCTTCATTTGTTGTCCTAACATGGGAAGCGTGTCCTGATTTTGACATGTGCCGGCGTTGCGTCGGCTTCGGTTTTCCTTTTTCTTCTATAGCATTTGTTGATTTGCTGGACTACTTTTCTCCATTTTTCCTCTCCTGGTACGTGTTGCTCTATCTTCAGGCTCCCTTTCAATGAGTCCTTTATACGGTATAATTTAATATCACTATATAGCTTTTTTATGCCTCCTAGAATGTTCAAACACTTAGATAAGAGGACAGACAGAGAAAAAGTATAACGTACAGTATCTTTAACATCCGGTCATCTTACGCTAGGCTGCCTTTTTTTCTTTCCTTCCTTTGTAAAATTGTGAGCTCTCTCTCTCTCTCTCGTCTCTCTCTCTCTCTCTCTCTCTTTATATTATAGTATATAGTAATATATATATATATATATTATATATATATATATATATATATATATATATATATATATATATATATATATATATATATATATATATATATATATATATATATGTACGCACGCGCACACACACACACACACACACACACACACACACACACACACACACACACACACACACACACACACACACACACACACACACACCACACACATATATATTTACAAACGTAAATAGTATAAATGAACTGAAATTTGAATTTCAAATCTTCATTTGTTTGTCCTAACATGGGAAGCGTGTCCTGATTTTGACATGTGCCGGGCGTTGCGTCGGCTTCGGTTTTCCTTTTTCTTCTATAGCATTTGTTGATTTGTGGACTACTTTTCTCCATTTTTTCCTCTCCTGGTACGTTTGCTCTCTTCAGGCTCCCTTTCAATGAGTCTTTATACGGTATAATTTAATATCACTATATAGCTTTTTTATGCCCTCCTAGAATGTTTCAACACTTAGATAAGAGAGAGAGAAAAAGATAACGTACAGTATCTTTTAACATCCGGTTCATCTTACGCTAGGCTGCTTTTTTTTCTTCCTTCCTTTGTAAAATTGGAGAGTGAATCAGGATGTCGCATGGCATGTATTTCAGTTGACACGTACGCCGGGGAGAG